GGCCAGTGTAGCAGTCACTAGGTTTCAAAATTATTCGGCAATTTATAAACTTTTTAAAACCAAAAGATACCCTTTGTTTAAGTATAAAATTTAAAGAAGGTGTAAATTGCTACCAAACGAGTACAAGAAATAATTTTTTCGTGCATGCTTTCCATAAAATTTATTTTAATTTTTAAAGGCAGTCAAAATCAAAGACAAAAAGGCATACTACTTAAGTAGTTACTTTTTATAGTACATACTTTTTCTTGGCGGTCAGAAAGAAGCTCGTTAAAAGGCCGGTATCCTGCAGTGTCTAGAATATGTTGAGATTAGGCTGTAAAATTGTCTCTATTACAACCATCCACAATTAAGTTGTTCCAATCAAAAACTCATTTCAGAATTCCGGGGGACATGTCATGATGTAGGGAATCTACTGTACTTTGTAGATAAATAGCAGGCTGAGATAGCCTTTAAAGGGTCGTTTTGAGAATAGACCTAAACAATAAAGCGGTGGCTACAGGAACGTACAGTTAAAGTACGCATGCGGACGACCGCTATGAACTCGAGATACCGTGCAGTCTGTGCATGTATCACCCTTATCCGCGCATTTGTCAGACTTTCCTACGATTACCTATGATTAAAGAATCCCGACGGAATCCGAAACGTCAAGTCAATAAAAAATTTGTTCTAGTGATCGCTTCTTCTTTTTCTTCTTCTTCTGAACAATAAATTGTCTTTTCTGCGGGCACTCACAGTTCACGTGGTGCTGGTATAATAAGCATAAACAATTAAAATAAATATGGATTTAATTCAGGGTAATCTCATACAGGAACGGTACATTGATCCATGCCCTGCCATCGACAGCTAGTAGCTGTGTGCAGTGGGCCGGATCAACTGGAAGCATAGGTAATACGGTCAACGTATCTGCGGCATATTTAACCAATTGACAGTCCTAAATTTGCCCAACAAACGAATTGTTTAAAATATGATGCAGCGGTGTACAAATTCCATGGTAAAAGTCTTATCACCTCAATGTTTTTTTTCGCAGAAAGAAAAATGTAAACCCGAGGTTGTGTGGAAAACAAAACAGTTGCTAGGATATGCATTGCCAAGCAGGACAACCAACAGCTTCGCACACTGGGTGGAGTTGGCAGCTGAAAAGCCTTTGTCATGGAACAAGGAATATACTACAGGATTTTAA